ATACACAAAAACTAAATCCAGTACAAAACCCCAAATGTAGGACACCTAGCTTGCTAAACATTACTTTACAGCAAGAATATTCAAATAAGGCAATTGCATCATAGTTCAAGATTTCATCCTTGAATTATTACAATCAAATAATCTGACTTCAAAACCTATCAGAAACAATCCTTTTCAGGAACAAGTCATGAAATTTGCAAAACATTCTTTCAACAAAGAAAAAAGTTACCTGATGATGTCCTGTCATTTGTTCTCCAATTTGTAAGGAAAAAAAAAAACTTGGCCAAGGCATTTAATTTTGTACAAATGCTAAATTGAATTTTGTTTCAATTTGTTTTATTAAATAAAATCAAAGAAAACAATGTATGAAGCTGAAAATTTCTCTTTCCAGAAAAAAAAATTTAAAAAAATATTTAAATGTTCAAAACTGTTTCTCTACTGCTTGAATTTTTGCCAATATTTTTATTTTAAAATATTGCTAAAATAAAACTGATGGAAAATTATATCACGTCATGAGCAATAAATACAAATTTAAATTCACATTAATTCTCAAAGAAAAGAAAAACTAAAAAGGCATATAATGTCAATGTGACTAACTTGAAATTATTGGGATTATTTATGAACATAAAATAGCATCAGCTCCAACACACAAATACTCACATCAATAATTACCATTTCATTTTACGCCTGAACAAGCTGAGCACAGTAGTACAGTAAGATTGTTCTTTTGTTGTCCCTCACCTTTTTTCTTTTAAAATACCATGTTCCTTCATGCACAGTAGGCTTGCACAACAAAGCCAAGTGGACATTTGTGGCTTTTGAGCCCCCTGAATGATTTTCAGCTCAATTATAGAATTGTAAATTTATTAATGTTATTTGTACTCAAGAGGAAGATTAAAAGAAAATTTTCACATTTCTAGTTAAAAATTAAGGGTTTAGGTCTAGAAACCCCAGTCTACAGTGAAGAGCCAAAATCCCTGCAAAAGAGCTTAAAATTTGCACTTAATCAATTTTAACTTCTTTTGGGGCAATTTTCAGTGCCAAATATAGATTCAGCACCCAAAGAACATTGGAATAGAAGTCTAGATCATGATCATCTATTAAACACAAGGAAAATTATATCAAAAACTTATATTTGGTGCCTGGCATATGGTACCAAAAACAAGTAATGACCAAAGTACATTAAGTATCTTCCTGATAGTATTTTTCTTTTTTTATATATTATTCAATTTAAATTACTCTAATATTTAAGAACTTATGCTAAAAAGAGGATTTTGTCTATCGTACTTTTTGTTTGCACTACTTGAAGTTGGGTGGGAGGCAGAGACTAAAAAGTAGGCAACATGTAGCACAAACATTTTGTGTTCTAGGCTTCCAAATTCCACTTGATGTCATTTTTTTTTTAAAGTGTGTCAAATTAAACCTGGCTGTCACTTATAACATTCATATAAACAAGATTCCAATGATTTTCCTAACAAGAAGAAGCAGAAAAAGCAACTATCTTCTAAAAGTAAATGTCTAAACATATGCAACTTTTTAAATTCAACAATTATAACTTGACAAATAATTGAAGTTAGGATAAAGTCAAAATAGTTCTTGAAACTGTCTTTCAGACTAGATATTGCACATATTACATGGTGAATGTTCCCAAAATTCCAAATGTCTGCTTGCAACCCACTGTACCATAACTTTGGCAATCATGGTTCTCTATGGATTCCTTTTCATTATTATCTGTGAACTGCTATGACTTCTTAGAAAATATAGTAGAATGGCTTTCCATTGTCTCCTCCTATTTTGAATTCAGATCATTCCTTCTAGACTAGCTGCTATCCAAGGCTAGAGAATCCAATCTACCCTGATATTTAATCCATGGTGTGGAGGGAAATAAATGGATTCATATTTTCCCCAATAGCATCAATGTGAAGAGAATTCAACAAACAAGGCTATGATTTGAACTCAGGTCACCGATTCCACACTCCTCACTGATAACCATTACACTACCTTCTGCTTCTTCCAAAATGTAACTTAGAATGATGACAGATAGCAACATTCTTCTTCTTAGCAAATCTCTTAAGATATTGATAGGGTAAGGCTACTCTAGCACAAAGAAATATGGAGAAGGGAAAAGTAGAAAGATTGTGTGGCAACAATTTTTCCATCATGGCATGTTTGCCATGAAAATCAGCATAAAACATTTGGGATTCTTATTTGAGCTTGTATATTGATTAGTGGCATACAAAAGCCCAAATCAAGAATAATGATTACTACTGGAATTGATTCAACTTTCTGACACAGTGAAAACTAGATGTTTCATACAATAGGCACCTTGCTATAAAGCAATGAATCTTCTTTTCTATGTGAAATCCCTTCACAAGATGGCTCTCCACAACTTCTTGTCTTTTGTAGCTCTAAGTATTTTTTTTAACCTTTACTATCCCCTGCTTGGTCATCCATTCACACAAACTCATTTCTCCTTGCTTCTCTTACCTTCAATATATTTTGTGTGTTAAAATCTCTAGGTCTTCTTTCTTCATTATGTGTCCTGAAAATTTCAACTGTCACTTTCTGATTGTAAGTATATATAGTTCCTACTTTCCTTAAGACTTCCTTGTTGTTCACATGTCCTATCTATGGTATTCCTAATATTTATCAATAGAATCACATCTCAGTTGTTTCACATCTGTTGGAATGCAAACCACAAACAATAAAATAAATAAAAAGTAAAATAAACAAGAACATATTTGGTAGAAATGGATTATCATCTTTAGACATATAGTTGCATGAGCAAAATGAGCTAGAAATAGTACCACAAGTCTCTTCATCTGTAAGGAAATTATCCAGCATTCACTGCCATGTAAAAAGATTAGATGTTATGTAGCAGTTCTGAATTCTTTTCTTTCTTTTAACAATATTTTTCCTGTCATAATACTTTGTTTAGTATCTCAAAGGTATTCCTATATGACTTCAGATTTCTGTATTATATTTTCTGTTACCTGTCAGAAAACTACCCAGATCATTTCTGCATCTGCTCGATTTTGACATCCCCAGTATATAGCTCACACCACAGGCTGTCTCTTTTACTGATGACCATGCATTTTGTCATCCGACTGATAATAGTTAGTCCTTTCTTCTTGCTTTCTCTTACTACCTTGTTTAAGAATTCTTTCAGTTTCCTTTCTAAGTCAGCATATCTTTTTGGTCCCCTTTCTAACTCTGCATCTCTTTTCGGTCCCCTTTTTAAGTATGTATATCTTGTCACTTTTCTTTTGTAAGTTTACATATCCATGGGTAGCAACTTAGAAAGCTTGTGTTGCAAACCATTTATTGCTATGTAATGAGAGTGTGATAACTTGATTATTGCCTCACATATGTTTCCTTGTACCAGACTAACCTAAACTATCTAAAAAAAAAAAAAGAAAAAGAAAATTTTGGGGATTTTTTGTTTTCTCCAAGTACAGTCCAACTAACATTTCTTTATGTATGATTTTCTTTTTCTCTGGCCATATTTCCGTTTGTTTGTTTGTTTTTTTTTTCATTTTAATTTTTAACAGCATTTATCATTTTGTCTACTTGACGTTTACAAAATGCCCGATTAAACAATATTTACTTGGCTATATGTTTATTTAAAAAAAATGTTGTTATTTTTATAAATTAAAAGTCCACTTTCTAGTCTTTTTGGCTCAGAGCAGTATTAATATCCAGGAAATCGCTAAAAAATCAGTATACCTTGATGAAAAAAATGCTCCAAGTTTAATGAAAACAAAGTTTTATCCTCAAGTGTTTGTTATTATTAGGAGGAAAGACCAAAGTAGTTTTTGATTACTTTATTAATTTTTTAATTCTTTCTAGCACGTTCAAAATTTTGGTTAAAAATCTTTGCGTCAGCAGAATACGACCGTATTTAAAATTGATGTTCGCCATTTTTGAGAAATTTATTTGTATATACAAAAAGTTAAATTCTCCGTTTAAAGATCTCGTAAAACTAAATTATACCTTTTTCAAAAGTTTAACTTATATTGTATTATCAGGGGTTAGTTTTATGTTCAATTGTTAACGTTGAACACCGACGGTCATAAATTCGGACAAATCAGGAGGTCTCGTTTGGCATTGCATTTATAAACTGAACATTAGTAAAGCGGAAAGCCATTTAATTTCATCCAACCCTACTTTAAAATTCAATTTTTCTCAAAATTAATATCCCCCCAAAATCGTTAAACAAAGCAAAACAAACCAGATAAGAGAAATGTATATTTATACAAAAAAAAAAAATCAGTAACTAAAAATCTTAATTCCATTTTCTGAACGTATTTACGACGCAAAGATATCTTCCCAAATCCTAATCAAATAATACTAGATATTTCTTTCTTGGCATATAAAAAAAAAATTAAGTTTCATTTTTTAATTAATTTTCTGATATATCTTCAGCTATTTGGAGTTTTCTTTTACTTCTTTTTACTAACTAACTTCCAAATTAAAAAAAAAAATAAGTAAATTTTATTATTTTGTTTTTAAAAACAAGCGTTTTTCTTAGATTGAAGAAACGTCAACTTCATGAACATTTGTGTAAAACACCATCAAAATCAAATTCTCATATAAAATTAATAGAGTTTTACTTACTCATTATCTTTTCTCTTCAAATAATTTTAACAATATATCATCTTTCGGTGCTAATCAAGCGAAGAAAAAGTCAATGGCGTGAATATTGATGATAAAAAATGACAGCGTCTTGAGAAATATTGACTTTTTTTTTTTTTTTTTTTTTTTTTTAATGTTCTTTGTAAATTGAGGAGCGTAAAATGAAAATCTACCCGAAACGAGTTTTGTTAAATTGATTTCTTTATTAAAAAAAAAAAAAAACAATTTTCATATAAAAACTATCTTTTATCATTCTCTTTTTGTAAATTTACAAATACTCTTAAATGTTTGAATTAAAAAAATATTTAATTTAAAAAAAAATTAATTTGGAATTAAAATAAAACTATTCTTTTTTTTCTTTTCAGATTCGGATCAACTTGAATCTTGTTTAAATTTAATTTTTTTTTTTTACAAGTGTAGTCATTTTTTAAAATAATAAAAATAAATAAATGAAGAAAAATTGAATGTGATGTCTTTTGTCAATGAATATTTTCAGGGGTTTTGTGTGTGTGTGTGTGTGTGTGTGCGTGCGCTTAGTGTTTAGTGTTAGTTACATTGTCTTCCTGCGTACTGCACAGGAACGGAAACCTTCCATGCGTGTTGCCTAGTCCAATGCATCCCAAATATAATCTTTGCAAAATCAAAGTCTACAACAAAGCCATCTTCAGTCAAGCAAGAGGAATGTTATTTTCCGCATGTACTGTACACTACACGACACCCACTTGACGCAAAAATACTTGCTGTGGTTTGGACACGTCGTTCGAATGGAGGGCAGTCGAATACCGAAGGTTTTGAGAGCTGGCACAGGGAAAACACCGAGGAGAGAAACTCCAACTACGCTACAAAGATATCTGTAAAACTAAAAGCGATCTGAGAACCCAAGACATTGACCCAGATACGTGGGAAGCTGTAGCCATTGGAACAATCAGCCCGGAGACAAGCACTACAAAAAAAAAAAAAGAAGAAAAAAAAAAAGAAGAAAAAAAAAAAGAAAAAAAGACCCCTTCAAGTTTGAAGTAACATTTGTTACCCAACAGTCAAAAGTAAAACAAAATGACAAATGTGGAATAACCAACAAATCTTACGGTCAGATTAGTATCAAATTTCGTCTTTGCAAAATGTGGGTGGGACCGCATTCTCGAATACGTCTCTCAAAACACGGCCGACGATGGCCCTTGAAACATCATTCAGAGCAATGTTGCAGAAATGCTTGTCGTATTTCTGTAGAAAACACGTGTCTCCTGGTATATTTTCCCCGTGATAATTATTGCGGACTCAAATGTGAGTCCGAGTAATAAATGTATAACACAAAACAGTATATAAAACAAACGACAATGTATGTGATCCGAGGCGGAAATTGGTTGGAATAAAGAAATAAATTTGACACTGGTTTGAAGAAATGGCCAAAGATTTATTTTTATTTACAAGATATGAAAATGTCTCTGGTAAGTCGTATAGTGTAGTGCTCGAAAGTACGGTGTACGAAGTATGAAATGAGAGCGTGAAAAAGGCGGCTATCGGTTTGGTTTGTCGCGTTGATAATGGAGTCCGTTCTCTTTCTGTGTTCATAGCCTAATGGTGAGACAGGTAGTCAGTCTTACTCTCGGGTAGCCTCTATGGTCAGTGTGTGTGTGTAAAGTCTCTCTCTCTCTCTCTCTCTCTCTCTCTCTCTCTCTCTCTCTCATCCGGTTTCTCTTATAGCCTATATAAGGGAAAAGCACAGACGTAATTGTAGACATTTGTGGCAAGCGAAAGCCGCGTCGATAATGGCCAGCACTCTGGTATATTTATGTTTGTTTTAAAATTTGTTTTGAATAGAGTGTGACTTAGCTAAACGAAAGTTGATGTGTAGTTAGAAATATATTGTATAAATTTAGCTTTAATTTGTGTAAATTGTGTTTTTCTATACATATGTATTAACAAAATTATACAATGACAAAGAAGAAAACATTTAAAGACTAATGACATAGAAAACATTTAAACTAGAGCACGTACTTGTGTGTATGAAGTTTGTGTAGAAGTCCGAAAGAAAAGTAATGCATTGAAAGTGAAGTGAACGTGCCCCATTGGGGGACACTTTTTCCATCTTAAGAGAAAAAAAAGGAAAGAAAATGGGTGAGAATATCCTTACCTATTTATAGGCTTAAGGAGCGTCCTCTAGCGACGATTTTAGTAAAGTAAAATGGGATAACCAACAGCACAACTCCACAGTCTCACAAGACTGACGAGTGTCCAATTTCTTACGTATACCGCAATTTCTATACATACGCACACATAAAATACATATAAGTATAATTGTAATTTCATATACATGCTACTTAAAAGACAATTGCAATGCTACCAGCATGACGACCCTGGAACCAGGCATGTTTTTGGAACCAAAGAAGCATTTTTTTAATCATTTCACCCCAATAAAGCCAGTATAATTCAAAAGAATACTGCGAGTGAAGTAGAAAGAGAAAACGTTATTGTAGAGAGAGGGAAATAAAAGGATAGATATTAAGGAGACAGAAGATACACAGTGAGCCCTGATAATATATATATATATATATATATATATATATATATATATATATATATATATATATATATATACTTAGATTAAAAGAAAGAACAGTAAGATATATAATCCGGTGTTCTTATAGATATTTTATTTTTACAAAATTTTGAAACATAGTTAGAACTGTGTAGCGGAAAAAAACATATTTTAAATCAATTAATTTATAATATATATATATATATATATATATATATATATATATATATATATATATATATATATATATAAACAAAGATAAAAAGCATTCAAGTTAAAATAAGGCAATTGCTTTTCTTATCTCTTCTCTTTCTCTCTCTCTCTCTCTTTCGCTTTCTTTCTCTATTTTTCTCTTTCTATACTTCTCTCTCAACTAACGACAACGTACCCCGCAAATAAAAAGAAGAAAAAACTGAATCCGTCCGAAAAACGCCGAAAGTTTTCAGGACCAGAGACTACTTATTTATTACTATAATGATACCAAAATAAGACAGGCTCCACTCATAAGTTCTGTTATGTAAAATCAAAAATGAAAAAGAAAGGAACACCGGAATATAAAGAGAAGTACGAGAGAAGAAACTATTAGAATAGAACTTACGGTTACATCCATGAATTTCAATAGTAAAATGACGAGACCTAGCTGCTAATCTAGTACTGCGTTTAAATTCATGAAGTCGAGGTGCCAAAGAGGAAAGCTCATCAGAACAATTGCCATGAAAATATTTATAGAAAAGGCACAGGGAAACCGTATTGTGGTGATGAGAAAGTCACTGAAGCCAGGAGGCTAAGTTCAATGGGGTTATTACTGTTCTTTCAGGACCCCGAATCGGTACCTCGAAAATACCACCAAATTCTGTTTTTTTTTTTTTGGGGGGGGGTTGTTTTTTAATCACAATATGGAAATGTTAGATGAATCCGTAGTCTCGTCGTATATTACTTATATTGTGGATAGGTGGTATAATTTTCTTTACTGGAAACTTTGGAATAAAACGAACTGACTCAAGGGTTAAAATAAATAAGATATTTTTATTTATTTTCTTTAGAGTGATGAGTGAGTCCTTTGATATTCGGTGTAGCAAAATGTTCGTTTATAAGGTGGATATTGGTAGCAGTCTGGAGAAGGTCCAGTCATGTAGTCTTGAAGTCAGACCGTGAGAGAGGTAGTGGTAACATTAGAAATAGGTCAGTCTCAACTCTCCAAGATTTTTGTTCTCTCCGCTGAGGCCAGCAATGGAACTCCCATCTCTCAATCACTTTTTGGATCAATATATCAACCCTTTTATCCACTAGGCTATGTGTCCTCGCGAAAAGAAAAATTGTCTACCACGACACAGTGAACCAACTTTCTTAGCAGCAGACCTAGCAAGGGATTTAATGGAAAAATAGAAAAACATTAAATGTAACGCGTTTCGTCTTTCGAAAGGACTTCATCAGACTAAAATAATGTTTGCCTAAATTTTTGAGATGAAGTATTGTAACTATTTACACTATTCGGACTGTTGTCCTCATCTTTCCTGTTACTTTAACGACGTTTCGACCGTTGTACGCTTCGGCCTTCTTCGGGTGATATATGACCCTAACCCTTTATTTTAAATCCACGGGGATAGATTGTTCTAATTCCACATACCATGCATTTTGATATTTCAGCTTTTAGCTAATTCGCGTTGATAACTCTCCAAAATGTTTCTTCTCTCCGCTGAGGCCAGGGATTGAACTTACAACATTTCAAGTCACTTTTAGGATCAATTAACCTATGCTTTCATCATCAACTATCTATATTTCTGAGATGAGGTATTCTAACTATTTACGCTATTTACATTGTTCGGACTATTGTCCTCATCTTTACTGTCACATTCACGACATTTCGGCCATTGTACGCTCCGGCTTTCTTCATCATCTGTATACATTTCTGAGATGAGGTATTGTAACTAATTACACTATTTATATTGTTCAAACTGTTATCCTCATCTTTACTGTCACATTCACGACGTTTCGGCCGTTATACGCTCCGGCTTTCTTCAGGATCTGTCTATACTTCTGAGATGAGGCATTGTGATTATTTACAATTTTTACATTGTTCGGACTGTTATCCCCATCTTTACTGTCACATTCACCACGTTTCGGCCATTGTACGCTAGGGCCGCCTTCAGATGATTTTGAACCGAACGCATTGTATAGTCCACAGGGGTAAATTTCGTTCTAATTCCACGTAACATGTCTTTGAATATTTCAGTTCTGAGTTAATTCGCATTGATAATTAAATTTTTGTTCTCTTTGCTGAGGCCAGAGATTGAACTTACAACTCTTGGGAGACTCATGGCCCAGTGGATAAAATCCTTGGTTGATTGATCTAAAAAGTGACTTGACTCAATGAATTGTGAATTCAATCCTTGGCCTCAGCGGAGAGAACAAAAACTTTGAATGTTATCGATACAAATGAACTAAGAACTGTGACATTCAAAGGCGTGGTACGTGGAATTAGAACAATATATCCCCGTGTTCTAAATAAAGGGTTCGGTTCGAAATTCCTGTAAATATCACCTGAAGAAGACCGGAGCGTACAACTGCCGAAACGTCGTGAATGTGATAGTAAAGGTGAAGACAATAATCCAAATAGTGTAAATAAATTTACTTACATTATTTGCTTTTTAGAACTTGAATAGAATGATGAAAAGCAATAATGTACGAAGGGAAATAGACTTCAAATTTTTTCACTTCTTGCAATTCCTTCTTGCTTCATAGCGCAGCATTTCTCGACCTTTTTAACCAACGACACACCTATGAGCAAATGAAAATATCACGGCATACTTAGCAAAATTTTTCAAGAGCATGTTAATAAAAGCATAAATT